AGGCACAGTGAGTATCTAAATAAAAATTACTTAAAATTTATAATTTCATAAATGAAATGCCAAAGATTTGCTAGCTTATCTCAAGTTACCATAGGACTTAATTGAGTAATTTCAGTATTTTTAGTAGACCAAAATCCAAATTGGCCTCTGCACCCAAAAGGTCTGATTAGGAATTATATTACTAAAGAAAAAAAAAAAACCTGGAAAAAATTTAATTAAGTAGTTCAACAACATAAAAGAATATATTTTGATCTTATATAGTATGAAGAGTAAGATAATGAGTCCCAGGATAAAAAACAGTACTCTGTACTGTTATTGGCAATACTCTGATCACATTCTCCTCCCTTATTCACAAAGGTAACCTTCACCTAACTTTCTATCCCCTGCCTTTTCTTTTCTTTCTTTCTTTTTTTTTTTTTGAGACAGTCTCACTTTGTAGCCCTTGGTAGAGTGCCATGGCATCATAGCTCACAGAAACCTCAAACTCTTGGGCTCAAGTGCTCTTCTTGCTTCAGCCTCATGAGTGGCTGGGACTACAGGCTACAACACCTAGCTATTGGTTTCTTTTATTTGTTTAGCAGGCCCAGCCAGGTTTAAACCGGCTAGCCCTGGTGGACAGTGCCGGGGCATAGCCACCCTGCCAGCTCAGCTTTTTTTTTTTTTTTTTCTCTATTTTTTAGAGATAGAGTATCACTTTTTTTTTTTTTAAGAGACAGAGTCTCACTTTATCACCCTCGGTAGTGTTGTGGCATAACAGCTCACAGCAACCTCCCAACTCCTGGGCCCAGGCGATTCTCTTGCCTCAGCCTCCTGAGTCGCTGGGACCACAGGTGCCCACTACAATGCCCGGCTATTTTTTTGTTGCAGCTTGGCCGGGGCCGAGTTCAAACCTGTAACCTTTGGTGTATGGGGCCAGCACCCTACCTACTGAGCCACAGGAGCCATCCCAGAGTCTTTTATTGCCCTCAGTAGAGTGTGGTGGCGTCACAGCTCACAGCAACCTCCAACTCCTGGGCTTAGGTGATTCTCTTGCCTCAGCCTCCCAAGTAGCTGGGACTACAGGCGCCCGCCACAATGTCCGGCTATTTTTTTGTTGCAGTTTGGCTGGGGCAGTGTTTGAACCTGTCACTCTTGATATCCTTACCCACTGAGCCACTGGCGCCACCCTTTTTTGTTTGTTTTTTTGTTTTTGTTTTTTTTTTTTTTGAGACGGAGCCTCAAGCTATCCCCCTGGGTAGAGTGCCATGGCATCAAGCTCACAGCAACCTCCAACTCCTGGGCTCAAGCGAGTCTCCTGCCTCCGCCTCCCAAGTAGCTGGGACTACAGGTGCCCGCCACAACGCCTGGCCATTTTTTGGTTGCAGCCATCATTGTTGTTTGGCGAGCCCGGGCTGGGGATTTGAACCCTGCCACCTTAGGTGTCTGTGGCTGGCGCCCAGCCTGTTTGTTTGTTTTTGAGACAGTCTCATTATGTCACCCTCGGTAGAGTGTCCTGGCATCACAGCTCATAGCAACCTTAAACTGTTGGGCTTAAGCAATTATCTTGCCTCAGCCTCCCAGTAGCTGGCTACAGGCATCTGCCACAATGCCCGGCTATTGTTTGTTGTTGTTGCAGTTGTCATTGTTGTTTAGCAGGCCAGGGCTGGGTTCAAACCCACCACCCTTGGTGCATGTGGCTGGTGCCATAACCACAGTGCTACAGGTGCCAAGCCAGCAGCCCATCTATTTTTAGAGGCAGGGTCTCCCTCGGCTCAGACTGGTCTTGAATCTGTGAACTCAGGCAGTCCACCTTGGCCTCCCAGAGTGCTCCCTGCCTTTCTTTATATCCTTAAATAATACAGGCTTAATTTTGTTTTTAAAATTTATATAAATGTTATCAGACTCTTCTTCTGCAAGTTGCTTTTTTCACTCCATCCTGTTTGTGAGATTCACCCATTTGAATATATTTAGGTTTTATTTATGTATTTTCACTTCTGAATAGAAGTGAAATTCATTCTATAAATATATACATATTTTGTGTGTGGATTCTTCCCTCCCTTTTTTAAAATTTCAGATTGATATAAGAGTACAAACAATTAGGTTATATTGTTTGTATTTGTTAGGTAGAGTCCAAATTGTAGTTGAGCCCTTTACCAGGAGGTGTGCCATATACCTATACATTGTGCCTGTTAGGTGACAGCACACCAAACCCTCTCCTCCTCCCCTCTCTTGCTCTTATCCCCAACCACCACCCCCCCAATTTGGATGTAGTTATGTTTTTCTCTCATGTAGGAGTGTAGCTATTCATCTACTGGTTTCATATTAATGTCAAGTACATTGGATACTTGCTTTTCTACTGTGTGATACTTTAGTTAGGAGGATGTTCTCCATCTATAAATACCTTTAGTTACCTATTCTCCTGATGATGGACATTGGGCTATTTTCAGGTTTTTCCCTATTACAAATTATGATGAGCCCTTCACCAGGAGGTGTGCCATATATTCCTGGGCAGTATACCTCCTGGTACACACCAAGCTTCTGTAGGGCACACAACTAAGAGTGGAATTATTAGGTCTGGGAGATATACAAAATTACCTTTATTAGATAATGCTAAATTGTCTAACATATTTATACCAACTTAGACTCCAGTGCATTAAAGGTTCCATTACTCCATATCCTTGCCAACATTCAGAATAGTAAGACTTAGTAACTTTTGTCATCTAGTGGGTACACAATGATACCTCTAATTGTTTTAAGCTGCTTTTTCCTGATTACTTAGGATATGCAGCATCTTTTTACTATGACTTCATGAAATATATGTGTGTGTATATATCCTCAAATTTAAATATTCAAAAAGTAAATTACTGTAAGAAAAATTAGAAATAAACCTTTCAGTTAAAGTGAACAGTTATCAAAAGATAATTAGCAATAGAAACCAAAGAAGAATGTTCTTGATTCTTTCCTATCTCATATTCTACATGTATTGTCTAGATTTTGTACATTTTTGCTCAAACCAAGAGTAAGAAGTTTAAAATTTTGGATTAAGGATAATTTCAGAGCCAAGAGAGAAGCCACTTTTCAAAGCTCTAACCATGAGCAATGTTAGTAAAGCTTAAAGTTCTATATACTACTTAGTCTGAATATGAATTTTACAGATAGTAATTACAAGCTAAAAGTATTCAGATGAACAGCCAATAGTTATTTGTTATCTACATGACCAGCTAATAGTACACCATTCATGGCGGAGTCAAAGAAATTAAAATGTTATTAAACACCATACATCAGTGAAGTAAGACTTATATGAGCTCCAAAAGATTGAATTGTCACGTACCCAAGTAATGCTCATGTACTCTAACAACTTCACAAAGTCCAGAGTCTTCAGAGTCCAATGGCAAAATTCCTAAAAATTAAAAAGAGAAATATAAGGGAAAATGATGCCAAAATAAATTCATGAGAAGCCAGTAAGTATTACTATAAATTTTGTTCAGTGGAATTTTGAGGAAGGTTCCAGTAATTACTAGCATGGAGTTGGGACAGACTTAAGAAGCAGGAAGGAAAGGGACCATTCATTTTCTGCAACGAGCACCTATGAAATCTTTCTTTCTTTCTTTTTTTTTTTGCAGTTTTTGGCCGGAGCTGGCTTGAAACCACCATCTCCAGCATATGGGGCCAGTGCTCTACTCCTTTGAGCCACAGGCACCACCCTGAAATATCTTTCTTTTTCTATCTCTTTTTTCACCTCTGAGTGATAGTAAAGATGATGACCAATGTTATAGAACCAAGTCAGAGTCTTGGGGAACCTAGACTCTTTGTTAAAATTGTCCCTGATGATAAGGCCAGGCACGGAGGCTCACACCTGTAAGCTAACACTCTGGGAAGCTGAGGCAGGTAGATTGCTTGAGCTCAGGAGTTCGAGATCAGCCTGAGCAAGAGCAAGAACCCATCTCTAAAACAGCCAGCATTGTGGTGGGTCTGGGTAGTCCCAGCTACTTGGAAGGCTGAGGCAAGAGGACTACTTGAGCCCAAGAGTTTGAGATTGCTGTGCACTGTGATGCCATGGCACTCTACCAAGGGCTACAAAGTGAGACTCTGTCTCAAAAGAAAAAAAAAAAAAAACAAACAAGAACAAAAACAAAAAAACTGTCCCTGATGCATAACTACCTTGCCATAGTTTAATTCCATAACATACCTAAGTATGTTTCCATATAAAAGAAAATCCCATTCTTCTTTTATGCTAGTCTGATATTATTTTTGAGTAATAAAACACACAGTGCCACAGACTTCTCAAACAGAAAAAATGATAAAAAACACATCATCAGTTCTCTAGGAAAATAACTCAATCAGAGGCAATACTGTAAGAAGCTGTTGAAAATTTTCTCACAAACCTATTCTACCACAGCTTCAAGGGTAAACAATTCTAAGTTTATATACATATTTTCTAAGCTTATATCTTCTACGTTGGAATGAAAATATCAAAGACTATTACAAAAGTCACATGCTATTCATGTCTGACTATCTAGCATACAAGTGTAAATATATGTATTTGCAAAAATAATTATGAGCATTTTTTAAAAACAGATTAAATGTTTCAAGGAAAATTTAGTTTTATAGGAGTAGCAAGAAAAAAGATCTGTGTGATCTAAGAAGGAATGAGAACAAACCCGTTATATCATTCTGTCAGCTGTGACTTTTTCTTTTCTTTTCTTTTTTTTGGAGACAGAGCCTCAAGCTGTCCCCCTGGGTAGAGTGCCGTGGCATTACAGCTCACAGCAACCTCCAACTCCTGGGCTCAAGCAAGTCTCCTGCC